TGAGATTGGTGTTATCTTTTCTGTGTTTAAATAATGTTTTATTTTTATTTCCTCCACACTATCTTGCGTGTATAGTTTTGTGAAGAATTTATAAATAACATGCTTCTTTTCTTCCGCTTTGTACTGAATTCTTCCCTCATCATCTTTTAGTTGATATATCATCCTTTTTTCTCTTTCATTCTTCAATCTGTATGCCAACCATCATCCAGGTTTGTTGGCTTGTTGAAAGTAATTTTGTCTGGCCGCTTTAATTTTCTGTGCTAATTCCTTTTGTTATTAGGTTGATCTTATGTTTTATCATCTCTCTTTTTTCTTTTTTTAATTTTATTCTTTGGGCCTTTCTGTAGTTCAGCTTCGGCTTCCATGAGTTCTTTTTGCATACATTCTTGTTGCTCTTTTTGTTTTCTAGTTTTTCTCGCCATGTAGGCAATCATGAGGCCTCTTTTATATGCTTTCATAGTGTCCCAGAGATTTTGAATTGTGGTGTCTTCTTTTTTATTTATTCTAAAAAATAGTTTTAATTCTTTCTCCAGCATTTGAGTGTATTCTATTTCATTTACAATATTTGAATTCATCATTCATCTGATCTTCTATACAGGTAGTCCTCGACTTACAACAGTTCATTTAGTGAATGTTCAAAGTTACAATGGCGCTGAAAAAAGTTACTCGTGACCATTTTTCACACTGACAATCACTTCAGCCCCATGGTCACATGATCAAAATGCTTGGCAACTGGTTCATATTTATGACGGTTGCAGTGTCCCAGGCTCATGTGATCCCCTTTTGCGACCTTCTGACAAGCAAAGTCAATGGTAGAGCCAGATTCAGTTAACAACCGTGTTACTAAGTTAACAAATACAAAGATTCACTTATCAACTATGGTGAGAAAAGACATAAAATGGAGAAAACTCACTTACTAAATGTTTCACTCACCAACATAAAGTTTGGGCTCCATTGTGATCTTAACTTGAGGACTGCTTGTATTCTGTAATTCATGGAAAAGTGATTCAAAAAAAATATATGAAACTTTCATTCATTAACCATAACTGAAGAAATTAAAAACTAAAAAAGAAACAAGAAACAAGCAGATGTGGCAAAAGAATATTGAAAATATTGTTGTGTTTTAATGAATTGGGGGGTTTTTTGTATTTTTTTTTTGCAGAAACTCTATAGGGACGCTTGGGACGATGTAAAGAAATACATTGATTACAGGTCAGATGCAATTCCAATCAGAACAGCCAAAGCCTCAAGACAAATTGCCAGTGATGTAAGTATATTAACTACATCTTCTTATCTTGGGTGTATTTGTGTGTGTGTGTGTGTGTGAACTCTAGACCTTCACCGGGGTAAATGGTGGTGTTTTATATATATATAAAAGAAATCAAATATTTATATATCTCAGTTCACTGCAAAATAAGAGATTGCAAGCATAATTCAACTATTGTGAATAAACTCTGCAAGCAACAGCTCTGGCACATGAAGTTATATACATTTACTGGATATTTAGATTAGCATTGTAATCCACAGTATGTTTATTCTGATAAAAGTCCTACCACTCAATATGCCTGAAAGATACTTAAAACTTTATAAGTTCATCTTCATTTTGGGTGACTACAGGGTGACCTAAATTTCTATCAGCATTTGCACAAAATAGAAAGAAAACTAACTATAAATTGCTTGGTGGCATATATGTTTAGTCCATTGGTGGGTTCCTACTGGTTCGGACTGGTTCAGCCGAACCAGTAGTAACTTGGCGGCCTGGAACTGGCAGCGACCCAGGCCTGCCACACCCCTGAACTGGTTCTCTCCTATGGCACTGCCATCTTGTTTTTTGCTTATGTGCAGAGCAATTTTAGTTGTACTGTGCATGCACGTGCAGCGTCCCTGAGCGAACTGGCAATAGTCTCTGCCAGAACCCACTCCTGGTTTAATCAATCAATCAATTGATGAATCAATCAATTCTACATAATATTATAGAACCCATTCGCCAATACTATCTTCCCAGATGCCTTTTGACATTTCAGTCTAGCCTACTACCTGGAATTTCCTTGATACAATGTTGGCCAGAAGTTTTACCATGCTGCTATTAAATAGGTTTTACTCTAACCAAAGGTTCCCAGACTTAGAATAAAAGATTGCAGTGGTTAGAAATGTACTTTGGTTAGAAACAAACAGCAACTATAAACCAACTATAACAGAAGGAGGCTCCACAGCCATTAGTTCCCCAGCATCTGAGAGAACAAAATTATTAAAAACTAGAAGATCTAAAATATAAATGAATACATATACAAAAAGCAAGCATCTAAAAAGAGGGGTAAGAACATTACATGGGTATAGGGGAGCTGGAAGACTATATTAAGTTCCAAAGCAATATGATATGGTGAGTTAGTCATTAAATCTAGCTTATAAAGTTTAGACCCAATCACAGATCATTATCCAATGAATTTTGAGTGCTGCTGCACAGAACTCAGCAACATTATAAGTTGTAGCATGGTTGGTATCTGAAGCATCCATGTGGGAGCCACACAAATTTCTGAGGACTATTGTTCTAGAGCAGGGGTGTCAAACTTGCGGCATCATGTTGTCGTCACGTTATGTATCATGACATTTTTCCCCTTCGGTGGGCGTGGGAAGCGCATGACACATCTGGCCCATGAGCCACGAGTTTGACACCCCTGTTCTAGAGGGCAGATATTGCAACAAGGCTCTCTCATGCAATTCCTTTACAATTTATGATATTACAGATGGAAATTTTATTTGTATCTTTCTTTAAAATTAGTACAAGTACAAAGAAGGTTATCGTAAGCAAGTGGGACACCACGTTGGATTCCGAAATATCCATGATGATCCCAAGCTAGTCCTGGCGATGCGTGTAGCCAAATTGCAGAGTGAGAGGGAGTACAAGAAATATTTTGAGAAGTTTAAAACCAAGTTTAATAGTCCAGTGGATATGCTGTCCATCTTGTTGGCCAAGAAATGTCAGAAGTTGGTTAGTGACATTGATTATCGCCGGTACCTACATGAATGGATATGTTTGCCTGACCAGAATGATGTCATCCAAGCCAAGAAAGCCTATGAGTTACAGAGTGATGTGAGTAGAAAATTCATTGCTTGTACTATTATATTTTGACTATTGTTCTTTACATTTTCCTTTGGCTTTTGGCTGATTATATTACTATTTGCTGTTCAAAATTGAAGTACTTGTGTTGCTTCAATCATTATAAGCCATCTTTATATGAATCAACCAGTTTAAGTTTAAGTTAAGTTTAAGTTTAATAAACTTATATGCCGCCCAATTCCGAAGGTCTCCGGGCGGCTTACATAAAAGACAATTTAAAAAGTACTAAAAAGTTTAAAAAGTAAAAGACAAAGCAGGTTAAAACACAACACACACTCAACCATAGTGGGGCTGGACCTCATTTAAGAGGTCAACAGCCCCAGGCCTGCCGGAAAAGCCAGGTCTTAATAGACTTTTTGAAGGCCGCGAGAGTGGGGAGGGTCCGGATCTCTGGGGGTAGATCGTTCCATAGGGCCGGAGCAGCTACAGAGAAGGCTCTCCCCTGAGGAGCCACCAAATGACATTGTCTAGTTGATGGCACCCGGAGAAGGCCCACCCTGTGGGATCTTATCGGGCGCTGGGAGGTATGTGGCAGAAGACGGTCCCGTAGATATCCAGGCCCTAAGCCATGTAGGGCTTTAAAGATGATGACCAGCACCTTTAAAGATGATGACCAGCACCTTGAAGCACGTTCGGAGACCAATCGGGAGCCAGTGCAGCTCGCGGAGGATGGGTGTAACATGGGTGTATCTAGGTACACCCAATATCGCTCGCGTGGCTGCATTCTGGACCAGTTGTAGTCTCCAAACACTTTTCAGGGGCAGCCCCATGTTGCATGCGTGTTGCAGTAGTCGAGTCTTGAGGTGACGAGGGCATGAGTGACCATTTGAAGTGCCCCCCGGTCCAGGTAGGGCCGCAACTGGTGTACCAGGCAAACCTGGGCAAAAGCTCCTCTGGTCACAGCCGACAAATGGTGTTCTAATGTCAGCTATGGATCCAGGAGGACACCCAAGTTGCGGGCCCTCTCTGAGGGGTGTAAGATTTCACCCCCCAGGCTTAGGGATGGAGTATCTGGACTATCCTTGAGGGGCAACATCCATAGCCACTCGGTCTTGTCAGGGTTGAGTGCAAGCTTGTTCATTCCCATCCAGACCCTAACAGCTTCCAGGCACTGGCACATCACTTCCACCGCTTCACTGAGTTGGCACGGGGCAGACAGATTCAACTGTGTATCGTCCGCATACTGATGGTATTTAATCCCATCCCCATGTTTCTATAAACATGATATTATAAGAATCATAACATGCAGATAACTATTTTAATGAAAATTACATTTTCCAATCAGAATCCCACAGATGCATCCATGTAAATGAACATCATTATTTCAAATAAATATGTATTTTAGGTCTCCAGTAAAATATGATACCAGATATTAAATGTGAATGTGAAAGAAAATGTTTATCAAACTATGGTAAGAAAATAGAAAATGATTAAGTTAAACCAGCATCAAAATGGTAACAAAATAATATTTTTTCCTTCTACTGTATGCTGTGCCCAATTTATTTGCTCTTCTCTGTGAGAAAAGAGCAATTTTTATCTTTCAGTTAAAATGAATGAGAAATTGCCTGATGGAAAAAGTGTAAATAAGTCTCAACTCTTTTTTATTTTTGGTCTTTGCAGGCTGTTTATAAATCTGACTTAGAATGGTTACGAGGAATTGGCTGGATGCCAAGTGATTCTGTCTCGGTCAACCATGTCAAACATGCTCAGGCCCTTATTAACGAGGTAAGAGGTTTTCTCCTACAAAGATCTTTCTTGTTTCATACAGAAAACTCCATTTATAAAAATGTCGCTTTTCCACAGTGCAGACTTTAGTTCATACAAAACTGTTTCTCCTTCATGTATGCTTGTTCTTATGGACTGAGTATCCACTGAGTGATTTTTATTTATTTATTAGATGTATGCAATGGTGAAATTCAATTTTTTTAAACTACCGCTTCTATGGGCGTGGCTTGGTGGGCATGGCAAGGAAAGGATACTGTAAAATCTACATTCCCACCCCACTCTAGGGGAAGGATATTGTAAAATCTCCATTCCTACTCCACTCTGGGGCCAGCCAGAGGTGGTATTTGCTGGTTCTCCGAACTACTCAAAATTTCCACTACTGGTTCTCTAGAACCTGTAAGAACCTGCTGAATTTCACTCCTGGATGTATGTGTCTGCCCATCTTAAAAAACAGCATTCTTGGTAGTGCACAACATCAATAAAAACAAAACAAACAAAAAGAAAAACAAAAAGCTAAGGTAAATTATGTAATGTAATCTAATAATGTAAAAACCTTTAAATAGTAAGCTATGGTTTATTTTACTGTGGTTTATTGGATATATTATCATTGACTTATTTAATACACAGTGTTAAGTCAAAGCTAAAAAACAGATTTTGATTTAATGTGATATACAATATCCATGTTGTACTGCTCAAAAGGAACAGAAAGGTTGGGGTTTAATTTAATTCACTTTAATATTTATTTATTGGATTTATATGCTGCCCATTTCATCTAAAGGCGACTATAGACAGCTTCACAACACAATAAAAGCAACCAGATAAAATATTAAAACAATAAATATTACTATTAATTAGTTATTTAATTATTATTTTAATAATTAGCACTGCTGCTTTTTAGCATAGTCCAGGAGAAGAGTTATTAAAAAAAGCAAAAGCAAAAAGAATAGCTGTCAATACAGATGAATATAGAGGTAGTCCTAGACTTACAACAGTTCATTTAGTGACCGTTCAAAGTTACAACGGCACTGAAAAAATGACTTATGACTATTTTTCACACTTATGACCATTGCAGCATTCGCACGGTCACATGATTTATATTTGGATGCTTGACAAATGACTCACCTTTATGATGGTTGCCATGTCCCGGAGTCATGCAATCCCCTTTTGCGACCTTTGGACAAACAAAGTCAATAGGGAAATCAGATTCACTTAACAACCATGTTTCTAATTCAAGAACTGCAATGATTCACTTAACAAATGTAGCAAGAAAAGTCATAAAATGGGGCAAAACTCACTTAACAAATTCCTCACTTAGCAACATAACCTTTGGAGTCAATTGTGGTCGTAAGGATTCCCTGTATTTTCCTCCTGTCTTGCCTTCTTGCATGACTATTTATTTTTATTATTTGCCTTACCTCTGTATCCCTGTCTCTTTTTACAGAGGTTATATCGTACCAAAGCTGATAAACTGCCATTCACTCCGGTGGCTGACAGGGTTGATTATATCACAGCCAAACAAGGTGGAGAAATACTAAGCGATGTAAGTATTGACTTTTCATTTCAGTTGTGTTACATTTATCTCCAAGGATAAAGGGAATAAATCTTGGAAAAGGAAACGATATATTGTGAACAAATCACTATGGATGTTGATAACCACAGCAGAGCTCCCCCAGCTTAATGAATCTTGTGAACTGTGGCAGTAGGAAAATAACATTTTCACAACAACTACGTCAATTATTTCCCTGTACAGCATTCTTTAAACTTTAATCCTACTGACTCCTACCATCAGTAAATCCTTTATAAAGCAAACTAAGGAATGTCTCCTTTGCGTTCAAGTGCAAAGTATTGATTCTTGTCAGCCATTTTGCACTGTGGAGGTTTCGAATAGGCCCAAATATCTCCTGACTGGGCTGACAGGATTTCTTTGAAAATATGCTTCCAACCCTTCCCCTCCCCACAGCAATTTCTTTGATTTTATTTATTATTAATTGTTTATCTTGCCTTATTTTATAAATAACTCAAGGCAGAGAACATATCTAATACTCCTTCCTTCACAATAACAGCAGCCTGTGAGGTGAGTTGGGCTGAGAGAGAGAGATCAAAGACAGGCAGCCAGGTTGCATGCCTAAGGCGGGACTAGAACTCACAATCTCATGGTGATTGGCCCAAAGTCACCCTGTTGCATTTCATGCCTAAGGGTGGGACTACAGCTCTTAGGCTCCTGCTTTCTAAGACTTGTACGTTATCTACTACACCAAACTGATTTTAATTAAACTGTGAGATCAAATAATAAATCAACCCTATAGTTACATACACAATTTTATTATTCATAAATAATGAATGGAGTAAAAAAGAAATACATAATTTCTGGAAGGTAAGACTAAGTCCATGTGCTTTTTCTCTTGTGAAGTGCATAAAATGAATGGCATTTCAGCATACCCTAACAATATTTACATATCAAGGTAAGAATACCCAGGGATTTGCAGGGCAGAGATAGCAGGCCAACCATGACAGTTTTTAACAGGTTAAAAAGGCTGCATTTAATGCACTTTAACTCTGATCTAGCCAATAAGCTTTTCTGTTTCTCGATTTTTTTTTGCAGAAGAGCATGTATTATGCAAATCACACTTTGTATGTTTCTGAGTTAGAGGCTATATTTTTGTTCTCTGTTGATTCTTATTTTTCTTATTTACAAAAATGAAGGCAGATCAGTATTCATAAATACACGAATAAAAAATCAGAAACAGAGTCAGTTGGATTTGTTCCAGATACCTCATTGCTATGTTGGATGAGGCTGATGTGAATTGGAGGCCAAAACATTTGGAGAGCATCAGATGGTCTGTTTAAGATGCAATTTGCAAATCTGTAACTTAGATCTATAATAACTCTATTGTTAACTCTTATTTGTTTCCAGGTCAAATACCACGAGGAATGGAATAACATCAAAGCCATTTATACACTAACAGATACACCTCGGTTGCAAGCAGTTAAAGAAGCAGCTAGGATTCTTAATGAGGTATGTAGTTTCCTCTCAGGAACAATGGTAAATAGAAAATTCAGAATAATTTTATATCTTTAAATCATGAGTCCTGATGAGATAGTTAGTGAAAAACTACAGTCAAAGAAAATAAGGATATAAACGTACAGGCCTCTTGCTGGTGGTTCTACCCAGCTAGGGCTGATTTCTAGAGATTTCTATTTTATCTTCCTTTCCTATAGTTTTCCACTCCGTTGACTGCAAAACAAATGTACATATCACTATTGACCCATCATGCTTTCATTGGACTATTTTAGTTGCTTCCATCTGTATATCCCTCCACTCTTTTTTCTCATTATTGGTGAAACCCTTTGTATATTCTCATATATGCTCATACTACCACCTGGTTTCTTGGTAGTTCACACAGTTCTTTTAACTCAAAAGCTGTAACCCTGCAAGTGACCCTGCAATGGTATTCCCATTCAGAATTTCAAACCTTTTCTCCTGCAAGTTTCCTATCTTCTTCCCTATTTATTTATTCAGCATTTCTTCCCCTTGAATCTGCTCAAATTTCACTGGGCTCCTCAGAGTGTAGGGAACGTTTTCTGTATTTTTGCAAAGTTTGTGATTATAGTAACAGAGACTATGCACAGAGGTCACTTCAGGCTAAATAAGACAATCAATTATCTTTAAGTGATGGTTAAGAACCCTCAAATATAATGACAGAATTAAAACCATCTACTGTTTCCCCCAGGTTTCTCTTTAACCATTCCCATTTTAGCATTTCATTTCTTAAGAAAGTAATCATGATTCAATGCCATCCTTCTGGAGAATTTATTTATTACCACTAAGGAAAAATTCCATTCTCTGGATGTTCATTAACATGAAGGAACTTAGGTTCTGGAGATGATCTTATCTGCAAGCGTGTTCAGATGGGAGTGTATGTTCCACTTTTAATTGAACACAGAAACAAAGTCATGGCTAGTGGACAATCTTAACAAGTCAAAACATAAACATTACTCTGTGACTGCATCACAGAGTATAACATTGGACCTACAAACACAGAATCAGAGTTAGAGAGGACCTTGTGAGCCTTCAAGAAGAATCTCTTGCTCAGTCTCTCCTGAATAACCTCAGTAAGTGGGAGCACTCTAGATATTGTTCTGAAGGCTGCCATATATAACCAAGCTACACTAATAGAAAACTGTTAAGGGAAAGAGCTATAGCTCAGTGACTCAACACAGGTGTGTGTAAAAGATTTTGTACCCAGTCTCTGGAATCTCCAGAGTTAGACCTCCATCTGAGATCCTGTAGATTCAATATCTGCAGCCTTTCAATCATGATGGTGCTGTGATTGGCCACTTGCGTATCTCTGAGTATGGCAGTTTTTTTATAATTAGTTATATTTGAAATATTGAAATACAGTTAAATATTTTGAAAAGACAACATTTCCAAGATATGAAACCGTCCAAGCCTTCCGCACAGCCTTGAAGAACTGGCTCGCCCGTCAGGCCTGGGGATAAGGATAGTTACCCCTCCCGAATGATGAATGTATGTTGCCTACCATTTTATTATATGTCTCTATCTTGTCGTTTGTATCCCCCCCTTCCCAGTTTTATGTGAGCCGCCCTGAGTCCCCTCAGGGAAAAGGGCGGCCTACAAATTCTAATAAAACTACAAAAACTACAAACTACAAAACATATGGAACAATTTGCTTGAAAAGTTATTTTTTAATCTGATGCATTTTTGATAGAACTAGAAATAATAGTAGTGTTTCAGACAATATTAACTTCTTACTGCTCTTTTTTGCAGCATCTGTACAAGGACAGCTGGGAGAAACATAAAGCTACTGGCTTCACTTTGCCTCCTGACAGTGTGCCGTTTCGTCATGCCAAGCATTCTGATAACGTCCAAAGTGAGGTAAAATCTTTCTACCTTCCAAAAATCTCACAGATTTCAAATATTTGCCATGCTCATCCTTCATAATATTACAAAGCCTATCAAAGCCCATCTAATTTCTCATCGCAATGACCCAGTTTATCATTTCAGGGACCCATTCTCTTTGTAAGTTATGCAATTGCACCCATATTTTTCTTAATTTTTCCAGAAACTGAGGACAGTAAAAAGTACCGTACTTCACAAGTTAGAAGAAGAAAAGTTTTGAGACTGATATTTACGCTTATGTGTTTTCTCCCTTTTAGCTAAAATATAAGGCGGATTACGTCATCCAAAGAGGCCACTATGTTGGGGTCAATAATATGAGAGAGGATCCAAAGCTGGTGTGGTTTGAGCATGCTGGCAAGATTCAGAATGACAGGTTATACAAAGAATCCTATCACAAAACAAAGTCCCATGTTCACATACCCCCAGATATACGCTCGGTGATTGCAGCCAAAGACTGCCAGCACCTTGTCAGTGAAATTCCATATCGTCATTACCTTCATGAATGGACGTGTCACCCTGACCAAAATGACTGCATCCAGGCAAAGAAAGCCTATGACCTTCAAAGTGATGTAAGTAGTAATATTAATATTATTACTTTTTAACTTTTTATTATTTATTCAGATTTGTTATAGCCATCCAACTTCAATTTTACTGAAGTTAATTTTTTTTACAAGCTAGATATGAACGCATATCTAAGAGAAAGATCTAGGAAAATAAATCAGGTACATATTCATATATACTGTATATACACTGTACTTATCATGATTTATTAATGTTTGCAGAACCTTTATAAATCTGATCTTGAATGGCTCCGTGGCTGTGGTTGGATTCCATTAGATTCGGTGGATCATCGGAGAGTAAAGAATGCTCAGGAATTAATAAACAAGGTAAATTATTGTTTTGTACACTCATAGCAGCCTTCTAGACTGTCCCCAGAAAATAATTATGATTATGTCATGTTTTTCTACAGAGAATCTACACAAAGGAAGCCATTGATAATTTTGACCATTTCACATCCGTTGAAGACACTCCAGATGTGGTTTTGGCAAAGGCAAACTCAATCATGCAGAGTGACGTAAGCATTCTTTAAAATAGGATGTTGCAGGAATGATGTGTCCCTGTGTGAGAGAATATGTATTTTAAGAAGCCATACTATAAGTTTGTCATTGTTTTGCTTGATCATTGTATCTACAGTAGTGTTAATTATTCAGTAGATTGAAGGTTAAATTAATATACTATTCTATAATGCAATGTTGTTTTTAATAAAACCTTCAATATTAGGGCAGTTACATAGAGCATAAATGCTCTACAATGCTTTTAAAAATATAATCCATGTTTGAGGCCAGAATAACTGTGTGATGTCTGTGTTAATGACAGAATTCCTAGCAATGATTTCGTCTATAATAGGGGTGTCAAACCTGCGGCCCGCGGGCCAGATGCATTAGGCGCTGGCCACGTCCAAGCCCAGTTTAGAAAAAGGGAAAAAAGTTGTGATATGTCACGTGACCATGCCGTGACGACATTGGTTTAACACCCCTTGTGTCAAACTTTCATACAGAAAAAAATAATAAAGAAGTGATATTTTATGAATTTTTAAGAAATTAGAACAAATTCTCTATATTGCTCTAAAATGGTCATCATTCTAGACAGTCTATCAAGTTAGCCTTAAACCTGATGTCTTACCTTTCATTTTTCTGTTTAGCTGAAATATAAAGAAACCTTTAACCTTCAAAAAGGTCACTACATCGGTTCTGATGACACACCAGCCTTAAGTCATTCTAGACAGATGATAAAACTCTACAGCGATGTAAGTTATCTTGTATTTCATATCATGTAAATTCTTGTATTACTAGGAAGAAATTTAATTTGGGGAAGTACTAAATATTATTCATTGATTTAAATTTAAATTTACAGTTTAGATAAAATCAATGAGTAATATATTTTTTATGGGCTGGAATAAACTGTTCCAGCTGCTGGAATAAACAGCCATGTTAACTGTTCAAATATATTGCGGTGTGCCTTTTCCTTCTGCAAATTAGTCAGTTTACTTTATTGATTAGCCCTTGGGCCATATCAAAGTGCAGAGTTCCAGACACAAATTATTACTAAAATCTGACAAAAATAGTTTAAAATGGAATTGGATAAAATACAATTTAAAATGAAATTAGAATAAAATACAGTTTAAAATGAAATTGGAATAAAATACAGTAATTTAATATATCCTTCTTCAAAGTTCAAATGATTGTCTAGGTATAGTCTTTCCTATAGATTATTAATCCTGGTAGATCTAAAGAGTCTGCAGGCCAAAGACAGAGAAAACAAGATGTACAATAGAGTTTCTGACAAATCAATCAAAAGGAATAAATTTAGTCAAGAATGAAGTCTTCAGCAGAGGAATTTCTCTTGAAGAAAACTTTATATTTCATGGTACTTTAAAAAAAATTATATGGAAGAATGGATTTGCCTACAGGCATACAAAGTTCTTTTTAAGTAAGAGACAAGTACACTGAAACTCTGGACCCATTGTGGCTCCTGAACTCATTTATGTACAACTTTTGAATTCCTCTTTAGTAATGCTAGAAAATTCCTGCCATTCTACGGGAAAAGGAATATCCAGGTAGTCCTTGACTTATGACCACAATTGAACTGACAATTTCTGTTAAGTGAGACATTTATTAAGTGAGTTTTGCCCCATTTTATGATCTTTCTTGCCACAGTTGTTGAGTGAACCACTGCAGTTGTTAAGTTAGTAATGCTGTTGTTAAGTGAATTTGGCTTTCCCATTAACGTTGCTTGTCAGATGGTTGCCAAAGGGGATCACGTGACCCCAGGACATTGCAAATGTCATAAATACGAGTCAGTAGCCAAGCATCTGAATTTCGATCATGTGACCTTGGGGATGTTGCAATAGTCATAAGTGTGAAAAATGGTCATAAACCACTTTTTTCAGTGCCGTTGTCACTAAACAAACTGTTGTAAGTCAAGGACTACCTGTGCATATCTGTAAGATAAGATGTAGTATATCTGAGAATGAGAAAAGGAGAAATAGGAAGAGACAGAGAGAAATAATATTCCCACTAAAGATGGAATTTTTTTAAAAGAAAAAATGTGAGACACCCACCCATTTTACATTATCATCCTGCCTGTTGCAGGCTGGTGTTTCAAACTGGGGAAAGGGCCCTGCTCTTGCTTTAAGGTAGAGATGGGAAAGGATGGACTCTTTATGACTTGTGGACTTCAACTCCCAGAATTCCTAAGTCAGGATGCCTGTCTCGGGAATTCTGGGAGTTGAAGTCCACAAGTCATAAAAGGGCACTTGCATTTTGACTCTTCGAAACTTAGTGCATTAAATCTAATCTGCCATTTTTGTCCCTTTTAGTACGTGTACAAGGATGCTTGGGAATCAAAGAAGGCTTATGGTTATACTTTGCCTCCAGACTACATCCCAATTGTTGGTGCCAAACATGCTGATTATATTAACAGCCAGGTCTGTATGAGTTTTCTTTTGGTTATTACTTTTGTGGGATCTTTTTTTTTTCAAAATACACATCTAACACTTTCTTTATTTGTCCTTTTCAGCTCAAATATAAAGCAATATACGAGAAGCTAAAGGGCCATTATCTGGCGGGGAAACATAAAAAAGATTTCCCAAGTGTGCTCCATTGTCTTGCTTTCCAAAAAATGCGGAGTGCGGTAAGGAGTTATTTGTGCCTTTTCTTGGATGGTAATTCTCCTAGGAATTATAGCAAGGAAGCTGAATTTAGGGAGTCCTCAATTTATGACCACAATTGAGTCCAAAAATTATGTTGTTAAGTGAGACATTTGTTAAATGAGTTTTGTCCCATTTCTTGACAGTTGTTGTGAATCACTGCAGTTATCAGAGTTGTCTCTCCCTTTCCTAGGGGAAAAAAATCCTCAGCTCTATAGATTTAGGGAAAAGTACTTTTACTAGGAATGAATTGAAAGCAAGACATTCCAGGGAAGCTCTGAGGCAAAGTGCGCGAAAACAGCAATTTGAAACAAACTGTACAGCTCAATCCCCTTGTAGGTAGACAACCAGAGGCTACTGCATACCAGAGCTAGCAGAAATGGCCTTGGAGAGATAAGTGAAATCCAGGCCGTAGTTGCAAAGCTGCAATGAAAATGTATCCATTATCCCCCCTTTTCTATGGCAGCAAGTAGAAGGCTAGCTAACATTAGTTGATAAGTTAGCAATCCAGCTGTTAAGCGAATCTGGCTTCCCCATTGACTTTGCTTGTCAGAAGGTCGCAAAAGGTGATCCTATGACCTTGGGACACAGCAATGGTCATAAATATGAACCAGTTGCCAAACATTGGAATTTTGATCACATGATCCTGGGGATGCTGCCAAGGTTGTTACTGTGAACACCGGTCATAAGTCACAATTTTCAGTGCCGTTGTAACTTTGAACAGTCACTAAATGAACTGTTGTAAGTTGAGGACTACCTGGTAATATAAAGAGAGGAAAACATGCCTGATGATTGAGGAGAAGGTTGAGGCCTTGGAAGACAACAAATGTGTGCTGATGTTGTGCTAACTGTGGTGCTCATTTCTTCAGAACAGTTCTGAATCTGACTTTGGTAACAGGTGGTTTACATGCTGTCTGTTTTTGATGGAGCCCAGAACCTCCTGATTTTACTAATATTTTCCATTTCTGTCTTGTTTTCCAGTTGGCTTACAGGAAAAATTATGAAGACACCAAGGCACACATTCATATTCCAAGTGACATGATCAACCATGTGCTGGCTAAGAAATGTCAGTATATCCTGAGTGACCTTGAATACCGAACCCACTTGCACCAGTGGAACTGTTCCCCTGAAGAGAATGATGTGGTGGTGGCTAGAAAGGCTCAGGAGATTCTGAGTGATGTAAGTAGCACTTGGGTCTCACAGTCCCTGAGAAATGCTTCGTTTATTGCAAATCGGTAGTCAAGCTTTGCGTCAATAATCCAGAGCTTTTGCTTTATATGCTGGCATAGAACAGTGTGACCATGAAGTGAACTGCAGGGTATCTTCAAAGATGCTTTCATTGGCTATCCCAAAGGTGCTTATTTAGGAGGCAACTGGACTCTCTTTGTTTTTCTTGGAAGATGTTTCGCTTATCATCCAAGAATCTTCTTCAGCTCTGACTGGATGGTGGGGAATGGAAGGATTTATATTCCTTGCAGACAGCTGGTCATTTGCATCCTTTTGGAGCATCGTTGAGGCCACCTGGATGTTTATATGTATCCTCAGGGTCACCTGAGTGGTGCAAATGGGTGTGGAGTTTTCTTGGAACTGTTGAAAGGATTGTGTTGTGGAGCTGTGCTTTCCGCAGGATGTTTCTCTGCACAGAAGGAACACAGAGCAGAGGAAAAAAACATCCCACAGAAAGTACAGCTCCACAACATAGTGCTTTCAGCAGTTCAAAGAAGGCTCCACATCCATTTGCACAGCTCAGGTGGCCCTGAGGACACAGTCAAACTTCCAAGCGGCCTCAATGACTCTATAAAAGAATGCAAATGACCAGCTGTCTGCAAAAAATATAAATCCTTCCATTCTCCACCATGCAGTCTGAACTGAAGAAATTTCTTGGATGAGAAGTGAAGCATCTTCAAAGAAAAAATAAGAAAGTCCAGTTGCCTCTTGAAAAAGCATCTTTGGGACAACCACAACCGACCTGGATGACTAAGAATCGTCATAGACTTTCATTGGATAGTGCTAATTGTCCCCCAAAGGAAGACTGCCTTAAACTGAACGTAATAGAAATCCTAAACTGAAATAGCCATAGGGGAATGCTGCAGATTGTAATTCAGCAATGCTTTGAGAACCACTATATCTCTGTTTTAAATCCTCTATAACGTAACCTGATATAATGACTAAAAATTGACTTTTTAAAAAAGTAGGAATGCTATCAAGAAGAAGCTTAGAGAGACATTCACATGCTCTATGTTCTGTTTTGCATTAGATATTGCAAATCTAATGTTTTGGATGTGCCTCTTTTTGAAAAAATTGCCCTGGAATTAAACTTTAAGGTGATTGAAAATATCAGTATGACATGCAAGGGATGATAAGAAAAGTTTTACGCTTTATTATTTTCTCTCTAACTATAGGTGCTATACAAAGATGATTTGACATGGCTGAAGGGAATTGGATGCTACGTGTGGGACACTCCTCAAATCCTGCATGCCAAGAAGTCCTATGACCTTCAGAGTCAAGTAAGAAGAAGCATGAATTACATTTGGGGGGCATATTTAATTAATCAGTTCAGTCATGCACCATTAGGGCTCATCCATAGATCTTAGAATCTTAGAATAACAGAGTTAGAAGGGACCTTGGAGTTCTTCTAGTCCAACCACCTGCTTAGGCAGGAAACCCTACACCACTTTAGATAAATGGTTATCCAATCTCTCCTTAAAATCTTCCAGTGTTGGAGCATTCACAACTTCTGGAGGCAAGTTATTCCACTGTTTAAATGTTCTAATTGTCAGGAAATTTCTCCTTAGTTCTAAGTTCCTTCCCTCCCTGATTAGTTTCCACCCATTGCTTCTTGT